TTTATGTCATGCAAGATTTTATGAACCCCAGTTAATGACTTCGCAGCATACCACAGCAACCAGGTCGACAGGGATGCTAGTGAAAGGGGTTAAAGGCCTCAACATTTTCCCTTCTTGCATTTCGATCGCACTGTCTTGATGAATTTCGGGTCAAGAAAAAATTTTAACTCCGTCTAAGTGCAAGTGATAAAATAGGCAAACCAGTGTAGGTTTTCAAATGGTTATTAAACTTACCTTACAGTGAATACGAAAGTCAAAAGTGTCTAAAAATTGACTGGTTTATTCTCTTTACTACCTCCACTCTAAAAAAGCGGCATATCCATGGAGAAGTCTATATAAACCACTGAATGAAGATAAGCACACTCTGAGTGATAAATTTACAAGAATTACGCTGAGACTAAATCACTATTGAAAACAGCAAACGCGAAAGCTAGCATATTTATAAAACTACGAAAATACGGACGGGGTGATATCAAATGTTGAAAAGTACCCTATCTTTTGATAAAATATTACTTAAGGCACAATCTTTTTATCATTCATCGTAAACGGTAGACACATTTTACCCCTTGACTAAATGTGTGGTCTTGTGCATGTGAATAAACTAATCGGGCAGCTGATTACCAGAACCTTGAATTTTGGCTTTTTTTGGTTACTCAGGCAAGCCTCCCCACATCACGGAAAGCTGTGGAACCGAGTCATTTTTCAGGTTTCCTATAAATCTTTAGTCAGTTTCTTCAAGCACGCGTGAGCAGAAAAAGCTCCGGCATTTTCACTAGCATGAGAGAGTACGTTGTCGTAACATAATTATAGAGAACAGAAGTAGTGCATTATGATACTCTGTGCTACACAGCCACAGCCTCCCAAATCGTCCGCGTGAGTACTTCCGCGAACAATATATGGGTCCTTTTACTGTCAACTGCGGTAATTCTATTTAAAAGTAAGGTTAACTCTGTTTTAAATCTCCACAAATAAAGTTTGAATAAAACACTACCCATAAACCCTGCAAATGTTTGGCGTTTGGTGCATAGAAAGTTGTTATTAAAATATTTGTTCTTACTTACGCGCGGTTTTGATCAGCTTTGCCTTAATCGCTGAGGAGTCAACTTTGTTTTAATAAATCTATAAGCTTTACGGTTCCTGCACTACAGACATAGTATAGGGATAGGCTGGCCTACT